GACTGAAATATGTTTGCCACATGATCATTTCTAGGGCTAATTAATTCATTCAAAGGGAAACATAACTGATGTGCAACCATGGAATTTTAAACATTTTCATTGTTTAAGAAAATGTATACAGCCAAAGGGTTATCTCACATTACAGATGGCAGTGAAGCAGTAAAGCAGTAAAGCAGTGAAGAATGTGAAAGATCAGTCTATTCAATGACTAATTGGAAGCTAAAGGGGATATTACAGACAGAAGCTACTAGGTGAGGTCTTTGGCAGCAGATCTGATGTTCAAACACAATTGTAACTGGCCAAAAATATTAACAGGGCTGAGCCTTGCATTGGGTGTGTGTATCAGCTCTGTCAGGATGACAGTCAGCTGAGATGAATTCCTGTGTCTCCTCCAATCAAAACTGCTGCTGTAGTGGAAAAGATTCAGACACTTTAAATGAGCAAAGCTGTGGGATAAATAATTGTTCAGTGCCAGCTATTTGTAAAGTAATGTGCAGGCTAAATCACGAGGCATATTTTCTTTATTTAATAAGGGCACCAGGGAGATGCTTTCCCTATTAGCAAATTTATGCATGGAATCTTGTTTTTGACCATTTTTTAAATAGTTAATTGGTTGTCAGAGAACCTTCGGGTGACATTCGCTGAGGGTTATTCAATGGTTTTTAGAGAACTTCTCAGGAATGTTCTCTGAAGGTCATTTAAATGTTCTAATTTTTAGATCTAAGGTTTTTAAGAAGAAAAAAGGAGTTAGAGAACCTTTAGGGAACATTCTCTGAAGGTTCTCTGAAGGGTTTTAAAAACCTTAAAATAACCTTCAATATTCCCTGAAGGTTATTTATATATTCTAATTCACAGATAATTAGAATTAAAGTAACAGTGTGGATGCATTATTCGGCAAAACACATTCCCCCACAGTCCCCTCCTTTCGCAGGCAAGGTGAGTGTCAGCCATAATATTCACGCTCATGAACCATAGTTGCCTAAAATATGGACTGTAGAAACCATCTGACTCCAAGGTGTCGAGACAAAATCAAGGGTTAAGGTTAAATTGCAGTGGATGCAAATCTTGGCAGCTATAAAATCAGCTCTGTTGAATTATGTTAAATATTTACAAGTTATTAATGGAGCTTAAGGGCAGCTGTTTCCCGTCTTACTTTACATATTCAAGCTAATTGTCTTGTGGCATAAACTGATTACTGAGATATTATTGATATTATTAGTGATTTGAGTTTTACCCTGTTTCTTTTTTTGCCATAACACCTACAGCTGACAAGCATAAAACTGTCACCAGACTTCACCAGATAATAAACAGTCGTTTTACTGCATGCACATATATGCACGTACACTTACACACACACACACACACACACACACACACAGTGTCCCAGAATGTGTGGAATGGTGTGTCTGAGGCCTTGTTGACACCCCTGTCTCTCCACTGATTTAGAGGGTAACCCTGCCAGTGCTTTTCTATCTTAAACACACATACACACACACACACACAGCTGTCAGAGTGGGCTGTGGTCCACCCTGCACAGAGATGCCTGCACACCTCGCCTTGCTTTATTCAATCACCCCAGCTCTGGATCTCCATGACAATGGGAATCCCTGGGTCAAATAGCTATTGGTCCGACGCTGGCAGGGCAGCAGGGTGATAAAATGGCAGCCGTTTTGATCTGTTAAATCCTCTGGGAATGACCTTGGAATCCCGTGATGGAAAGGTTCAAGGCTGCCAAGCTCATACACTTTGTCCTGCTGTGACCCTTTGTGTACGGGAGAAGGTGTGTGTGTGTGTCAAGGGGGTTTAACATTAGTTCAGAGATAACACTGTTTTAAGCAGCTGTCAAGTGTGAGATGAGCTGAGAGGTTCGCTCTGGTGAACTGTCAAAACCCCTTTCTTAGCACCAGCATAACAAAGAGGAAGAATGTACGGGTACAATGGGTGCACACAAAGACAAGAGAGACAAAAAAAAACAAAACTTAATAATAAAAAAAATAGTATTTAAGGGAAACTTTTGTCAAATACACTTGTTTGCTTTCTGTCATGACTACAGCCAGAAGCTGGTTAACTTAGCTTAGCATACAGTAAAGCAGAGGGAAAGAGCTCACCTGGCTCCGTCCAAGGGTAACAACATCTGCCTTCCAGTAGCAGCAAGCTCACAAGTTAACACATCATATTTTAGTTGTTTAATCTGTACTGTCACAAGACAGGTAGCTCTGGTAGAATGTGGTCTCAGTGGATTTAACTACCATAACTACTGCATGTCATGATTTTGCCAAGTAAGAGGCTGCTGGATCAACAGCCCACATCCCATCCCTGGACTAATATTGCAATCAACCAATTACAGCCCTAAGCTATTAGCTTGCTAAGTGAGTTGGCGATACTAACAAGGTTGCCAATAGACTAGAATCTTAGTAAGTTAGCTTGCTAACTAGGTAGACTACACTAACTAAAGTATTGTTCACTAACATTAAGAGTAGAGATAATGTAATTTTGCAGTTGCAAAGACCTGGACACATTGTCTATTTAAAACTCTTTTTATTTGTGTGGTCCTGGATCAACACAAGCACTGCAATCTTGCAGAAAAAAAAGTTTTTAATAGGCTATAAAAAAAGGAGGGAAATTGTGTTAATCGCAGGTATTTGCAACTGAAAAATGCTTCGTTAGTGAACAATATTCTAGCCTATTGGCAAGCTTACTCGTTAGCATAGCCCTCCTACTTAGCAAGTTTACTCACTAATATTCTAGCTTATTGACAAGCTTACTCGTTAGCACAGCCTTCCTAGTTAGCAAGCTAACTCCCTATTAACCAACCTATTGGCAAGCTTACTCGTTAGCATAGCCTTCCTAGTTATCAAGCTAACTTGCTAATATTCTAGTCTATTGGCAAACTTACTCCTTAGTAAAGCCTTCATAGTTTGTAAGCTAACTTGCTAATATTCTAGCTTATTAGCAAGATTACTCGTTAGCAGAGCCTTCTTGGTTAGCAAGCTAACTAACTAATATTCTAGTCTATTGGCAAGCTTACTTGTCAGTAGTGTTGGTAAGCTAACTCATTCATATTCTAGCCTATTGGCAAACTTCTTTTTGGCACAGCCGTCTTAGTTAGCAAGCTAACTCACTAATATTCTAGCCTACTGGTGAGCTTCCTTTTAGCATAGCCTCCCTAGTTAGCAAGCTAACTCACTAATATTCCAGCCGATTGGCAAGCTTACCCAATAGCATAGCCTTCTTAATTATGAATCTATCATGCTAATATTCTAGCCTACTGGTATGCTTACTCATTAGCATAGCCTTCCTAGTTAGCAAGCTAACTCACTAATATTCTAGCCAATTGGCAAGCTTCCTTTTAGCATTGCCTCCCTAGTTAGCAAGCTAACTTGAAAAGCTAACTTGATAATATTCTAGCTTATTAGCAAGGTTACTTGTTAGCATAGCCTTCTTAGTAAGGTAACTTGATAATATTCTAGCCTATTGGCAAGCTTGCTTGTTAGTTTAGCCAACCCACTTAGAAACTCATTAACCCTGCAGTAGCTTCTAAAGTTTTTGTTTAATGTTACGGAGGACTTTTTTTAAATCAATTTTTCTAATGTCATTTTGGAAAACTAGCTTAGCTCTGAAGAAGCACAAAGGAATTTTTAAAGAAGCACAGGAGCAGACTGATGATGTCAGAAGGCTCTGATTGCAATGTTTGTCCAGGAATGCAATGTTGGATGTTGATCCAGGAACATGTCCTACATGGCAAAATGGGTCCATGTCATTGGTCCGACAGCCCATTGGTCCGACAGCCCATTGGTCTGACATCCCATTAGTCCGACGGTCCGCAGTACTGAACGGCTCCCGGTGGGCGTATTTCTACCTTGATGGTGTGCCACGACTGGCACTGGGTCAGCTGGGAAAGGCTTGAGGCGAAACAGGCTCACGGCTTATGTGTTTGCCACTTTCTTTTTCATTTTAACCCACACCATGATCTTTTCCTAACCCTAACCAAGTGGTTTTTGTGCCTAAACCTAACCAGACCTTAACCACAGGGAATCATGATGATTTCGGAACAACGGGACTTCGGAACAATGGGTTTAATATGGTCGGAACAATGGGATGTCGGACCAAAGGGCATTTCCAGGCAAAATCACGCCATGCCTTAACCATAGCAGCTGCTGGCTGTAACTTGACATTTAACACACCAACATAGTGTGATGTGATAGTGATATCAAACTTTAACTCTAAGAAGGCAAACAGGATTGATTAATTCCTCCAAGTTTGACATGAAACATTCAAGCAACATTTTGTAATACAGAGCTATAAAAAAAAAAAACTTCTTTTCCCAGCAGTGCTTGTACAGTACATTGGTGCCTGTTTGCCCATCAGCCTGTCTGCACTTCACTGAGGGGAGTAGAATCTGATTTAGCCTGGTTGCTTGTGTCTGTCTATCGATCAGTGAAGAGAAACCCATGTAGGAAGGGTGCCAGCCACATGCAGCAGACTGGCAGATGTTATCCAGAACCATGTGGTGATACTGAATAACTATGGGAAGTATTAACCTTTGCTTTTTCTTTTGCAGAGTTCCTCTGTGACAGGGCAGACAGCATGATGAATTGAGGCATTAGCTGGTATTAAACCTACATGCGTCCAATGTTGCATTTTGGAGAGGTCGCTCTATTATTCTTCTCTCCTCTTTGCATAGCTCACACACATACTGAGTGATACTGTTACAGTTTCATAGCCATCAGAAGATGTGAGTATTGTTTGGAACAACTGTAATCCACCTAGTATCTGCAATAATGTTTTATAAATAACCCTGTGTCCCTCCTCTGTTGTGTGTCTGTGTGTGTGTGTTAGAGAGACTCTGTATGGTGATAATGGGAAACACACCAGTGGATGATACCGCAGAAAATAACACACTCTATTGGCTGCTTAGTTGGTGCGTGACATCAGTCTGTGTGTATGTGAAACATGGGCGGTCCCCCAAGGATGGCTACTTTAGGAGCTGGCCCTGCCCTTGGCGACCGCACAGAGCTGGACAACGGCAAAAGGATCAGCTGCTCATTGATGCTGTGGAGAGCAGAGTTGCCACTGTAGAGAAGTTTCCAGAAAGAAGATAAGCGTTCAGAGGTCAGGCTCTGCTGGGACACATAACACCTGCTTTCACCTTTTCCTGGTCATAGTGAGATCACTGCCAAACGAAGAGAGGTAACAGCTCACGGACTACATCTGATTTTGTGTTACCATTCTGAAAAATGTTTGGGCTAAAGTTGGCTTCCAAATCCCATGAAAATCAATGAGTGTAAAGGGACTTGGGAACAGCTTTACTTTCTAACCTGATCATGTGTGTGTTAGTGTATCATTAAGTGTGCTTTGTGAGTGTGTTTGTCATGTCCCGTGTGTATACTTGGGGATATTGTGGACCCTCTGCCTGTTGAAGTCTGAACAGGTGGCGACAGACATACTCACGTATTTGCCTTTGTTATGCCTGTTATATTGCTCATGTCTCTCTACACCTCTCAGGTCCAGGACCAGTTGCACCTCTTGAAAACATCCAACAACATTTTCTGCATCCTTCCCCCTTGTCTCCTTCTTCTCCGACACCACCATGGACCGCTCGGCGCAGGAGCTGTTCCTCAACTTCATGATCGTCTTAATCACTGTGCTGCTGATGTGGCTGCTGGTGAAAACTTACCAGGACTGAACCATGGAGCAACAAGAGAGGGGATGAACGAGAGGTAGAGAAACGTTCAGAGGGAAGCCAGCATGGTTACTGTAGGATTCTGCTGCTGATTGATTCTTGTTCAGGCACAGTGTTTACATCTTTTCATGATGGGCACTGGTCTGATTCAGAGCTCTAGTCTTCATATGAGACCAAGACTGTATATAAAGATGGACAACATGACAACTCCCCAAAAGTGAAGCCAAAACATCTTAGTGGCTGGCTGCAGTGTAAGTCAGTGTTAGCAAAAGGGAAATGGGCCAAACTATAAACTCAAAGTATTTGTCAAATAGGGGTTAGGTTTACCTAAAGATGGTTACTGTCATATTAGGTAGGTCTTATGTTCAAGTGTTGATTTTTCCTGATAATTTTGGTTTTAATTAGTTATTTGATGCTTTAAAAAAAGGGGGGTTGACGTCATGATTGACAGCTGTGTGTGTTCGTGATCAATGACGCTGCTTGGGATTAGTTGGACAGGTGTATAGGTGGAAAACAAGTACTATGGAGATCGCTACTACACAGGCTCTGGCTCCAAATGATACCAGCACACAATTGCAACCACTGACTCTGGGTTAGTTTGGCTTCATTTTTCAGCAGTGGGAGGAAGTGAAGACGCATTGTCCATCTTTATATACAGTCACTGATATGAGGTCATAAACCAGGGCAGATTGACAATGACAAACTCTTGGATCTGTATTTGTATTCTGAGATGTTTTTCGACTGTGGCTTTGAATTTCTGGCAAGACCCGAAGGGAAGGTCACAGTAGAGATGAGGGAGTGAATAAAAATAAATCACCAGGGGGGGTTTGGCTGTATTTTTTCACCGTGGGAACCTTTAAAATGAAGGCTATAAAACACTGCAATGTCACTATAAATAGCACAGTCGCCCATGTCATTTCCAAAGATTGTTTCATTTACGTAACCTTTGACACAATGAACTCTGCTGTTGTGTCTGTTGTTCTGTTTGTACTAAGTGATGAATGTGTCAGTGAAGATACCGAAGAGACATTAACACAAATAATGAAGCATTATTTTTATGTTCACTTTTTGCCATTAAACAGTCTTTCATTTGTCGGTTTCTTTTTCTGTTTCATGACACAAATGCTCATTCACGATACACACCATGAAGCCCACAATTTTCTCCTCACGGTTTCTGAAATTTTTAAGTTACTGTGTTCTTTGAAGCTACGGAGTGTTCCTCTATGATAGTTACACATTTCCATCAAACAAGCAGTTACTGAAGATAATCAGGTGATCTGTGTACTGATCACATATAGAATATATTATGAGAGGAGAAACAGGGCATGCATGGACACATGACAGTCTGAAACAGAATAAAGGCAAGTAGTCTAAAGCCAAAATCCACCCACATAGTTTACACAGTGTTGGCATGAGTTATTTTAGCTGAGTTTTAAATGTGAGCAGCAAAACAACTAAGAAAATCAGAATAATGTGTATTTTCTGATCTGTGCTATCAAATAAAGCACATTTAGTTGAACAGGACTTCTGAGGTGTTTTGTGTGATGTTGCCAGAACAAAATCATTTGATTCATTTAGGCTGCAAAATCCACAAATGCAGGAAAAGGACACCAAATCCCCCTGACAGCTGAGTAAATGGAGCTTTAAAAGTCTTACATATCAAAGTCTCCTTCTCTATATTGTAGCTGTAGGAGAGCTGATAAACTGTGAGCTCTTATGTGGGCGAATTCTACTTTTTATAACATACAAAGCAGAAAAAAATCAGTTACTAAAATAGGATTTCTAAAACAGTCTCCTGCTCAATAGGGCTCCTCCATGGGAGGGACCATATTTTGATTGACACAACAACACTCCTATGACAGCGAGCGCTTTACACATACAAATATAAGGATCAAATCTTCAAATAAAAAAAACTGTAATAAATCATTTGGCTCAGGTGCTCTTGTGTTATAATGATGTGGGAGACATGTGGTGTTAGTTGAACATTCTCTCAGTCAGCTGTCCGTCATGCACAGAGGAGACTCGTGGGTATTGCTTACATCAGTGACACATGTTAACACACGCATGTACTTCCACTCACATGTATTAATGAGTGCGTGCGGGCGTGTGTCTGCTGTGGATCATGCTGTGTCACCCCATGGGTCTTTGTATCTGTTGAAGCTGATGAGCTGGCAGTGGAACTCGGTGAGCGCTCTGGGCATGGGGGCCACTTCCTCCCATTGGCTTCTCCCACTGTGGTACACCTGTACCGGCCACAAGAACACACACATACCATAGAGGATGAATACCCTCTGTCCCCAAAAAATGAACAGAATGAATGAGCACACCTTCAGCAATACATTTAAATAACTTTAAATGAACTAGTTAGCTCAGGGTTGGAAGCAGGGCCACATCTCCAGTCACCTTGTTACCCCTTCTTTCCTGTTTGTCTCAGTTTTCTCAACCCACTCTCCCTACTCCTTTCCTTTCCTGACCCATTTATCCAGTCTTCCATTCTTTTACCTTGCTAGTACCGGGTTGGACCCCTTTTTCCTTCAGAACAGCCACAATTCTTCATGGCATAGATTCAACAAGGTGCTGGAAACATTCCTCAGAGATTTTGGTCCATGTTGACGTGATAGCATCACACAGTTGCTGCAGATTTGTCGGCTGCACATCCATGATGTGAATCTCCTGTTCCACCACATCCCAAAGGTGCTCTATTGGATTGAGATCTGATGACTGTGGAGGCCATTGGAGTACAGTGAACTCATTGTCATGTTCACGAAACCAGTTTGAGATGATTTGAGCTTTGTGACATGGTGTGTTATCCTGCTGGTAGTAGCCATCAGAAGATGAGTACACTGTGGTCATAAAGGGATGGACACGGTCAGCAACAATACTCAGGTAGGCTGTGGTGTTTAAACCATGCTCAGTTGGTACTAAGGGGCCCAAAGTGTGCCAAGAAAATATCCCCCACACCATTACACCACCACCATCAGCCTGAACCACTGATACAAGGCAGGATGGATCCATGTTTTCATGTTGTTTACACCAAATTCTGACCCTACCATCTGAATGTGGCAGCAGAAATCCAGACTCATCAGACCAGGCAACGTTTTTCCAATCTTCTATTGTCCAGTTTTGGTGAGCCTGTGTGAACTGTAGCCTCAGTTTCCTGTTGTTAGCTGACAGGTGTGGCACCTGGTGTGGTCTTCTGCTGCTGTAGCCCATCTGCTTCAAGGTTCAACATGTTGTTGGTTCAGAGATGGTCTTCTGCAGACCTTGGTTGTAACCAGTGGTTATGTGAGTTACTGTTGCCTTTCTATCATCTTGAACCAGTCTGGCCATTCTCCTCTGACGTCTGGCATCAACAAGGCATTTTTACCCAGAGAACTGCTGCTCACTGGATATTTTCTCTCCATCCTCTGTAAACCCTAGAGATGGTTGTGCATGTAATTTTGATGCCAAAATTTATCTGGTGAGCTAGTGATCACTTCCTCTAAGATTCTTGAAAGCAAAGAGCCATAAGGCCATTAGATAAGCTGTCAATGCATTACGTGGCCATCACCTTTAGCTCATAAAACCCATGACTTAGAACAGCACCTTAGCCAATAGAAGTGAGAATAGGTCAGTTTCTCTGGATGAAAAGGTTCTCCTACCTGTACTTCATCAGTGATCTCGTCGGGAGAATAGTCTCCACCTAGGATGTAGATTCTGTCTCTCATACCGACTGCTCCAGCATTGAATCCAGCACACTCAAATGACCCTTCCCCCTTCCACACGCAGGTCTCTGGACAAAAACTGTAGACCTGGATGTGGGGAAAAAGTCACACTTTGAACTCTGAGTTGACCTATTCAAACAGTCCTGCTTTGAAAACTTAAACTACTTTTTAATGTCTCACACTTCAGTGCAAGAACAGACAACTCATTCATTCCTCAGTTACCATCTGATGTCTCACCTTATATGTGGACAGGTCACAGAGGTGCAGTGTGTTATTAATTGACACCGCCTTGACCAGTGTAGCATGGAAGAATTGGCCAAACTCTGCCACCAGGCGGCTCCACTGGTCCTGCTGGGCGTCGTAGCGGAAGAAGCAGTCCAGTGAGGGGTTAAAGGAGTCTGTGATCTCCACCTCTGATCCTAGTGTATAGATGACACTGTCACAAGCACTGGCCTCGGGGTAGAAGATGGCAGTTGGCAGCGGGCTGACAGAGCACCAGGTCTCAGTTAGAGGGTTATAATACTCCACCTAGAGGAAAGAAAATAATTAGTACTGCACAAATAAACTGCACTCCCATTGCTGCTGTACAGGGTGGAGACACTGTTACCTCCAGCAGACTGGGAGCTCCCCCTCTGGATCCCTTGGTCCGTCCTCCAATGACGTACAAGCGGTCCAGGCAGGTTACAGCTGTGTGCGTGGTTCTGGGCTTCAGCATGGCAGGTGCAGGCGTGCAGGTTAGAGTCACAGGACAGTAGCACCAAACCTCGTCCGTAGCGTCGTGGAACGGCTCGGCCACATGGAGACGTATTGCACGACAACAGTTACCCCGGCAACCGCCTGTCACAAACATCTTGGATACAGAGGAAAGAGGAGAAGATGGTGAACTTTTTCAAACTTTTTTTACACCTGTCAAGGGTTTCAACGATTAAGCTTAGGGTTTAAAAGATAACTAAAGGGATAAGGATGTTTAAAAATAGATTTATATTTTTCACTTTCTTTAACTGTTATTTTATTTCTTGCGAAATAATGGATACTTTTATGCTGTGTGGTCTCTATAAAGCTTTTGAAACAAGACATAAAAGCCCACAACAAAGCTATAACTTATAGTAAGGGGTCATAAGTTGATGGAATTAATTTAATTTTAAAAGAACCACTGCAGGACTCAAGATCCAATCCCAAAAACGTACCTTCTCAGCAAAGCTTGTAAGGTAGGATCCCGGTGGGTCTGGCATTGTGGCTGTCCCCTCTCCGTGCCCTGTTCCCAGCTCTTTCCACTGATCTGTTTCCAGACAGTAGCAGAAGGTGTGGCGGATCTCCCCGTTCTCCTCCGTTTTGTGGATGTAGATGTAACTCTGCGTGGTGGCCGGCCTGGCGTCAGAGAGCAGGCCGCTGTACTGATCCTGCCTGCTCTGAGCCTCTGAGAACAGGGCAAGACAGGACTCATTATCGTAGAGGAGAGTGTCGGAGTCACGCAGCGTCTGAGAGAGAAGGAGAGGGGTGATACATGAAGGATGAGACAATCACAAGACCAACTATAAAAGCAAAAATCCAGCACGTGCATTGTGTGCATACCGTTAGTGCAGGTGCAGGTAGATGGTGGAGTCTGGTTAGAGATAACAAGCCCGGCAACAGTTTTTGTCTTGTAGCAAGATCATGGCGTGTCCATCTGAGAAGCGACTTCACCACGGTCTCCTCACTGGGCACGTTTAGAGCATCTGACCTTAGGCATGCCTCCAACACATTTAGCTATAAGAAGCAATTGAAACAGTAAATACAGAGTGAATTCAGTCAGACTTTTTGATGTTGGGATGATAATAAGGTTACTTGTCAAATCAAAATCACTGTTTACACTAGTTATACTGACAAAGGTCTCACCGTGGACACCCTATGATTTATTAAGTGTAATTATTGGGACAATGTTATGCCCTATGTGTATGGAAATTAGATAATATACATACATAATACATAATATACAGTCAAGGTATAAACTAGTCAAAGGAATAAACCTCAGTTTCTTTGATTAATTAACTTCCTTATTGTGTCCGCTCTTAAGCTGCACCTGCATATCCAGGAAGTCCTGGGTTTTGGAAAGGTCCGAGAAGTTCTGAACCACAAAGTCATTGGCACTTTGGAGGAGGGAGGCCGAGCCGTACACCTCAGCCAGGGACAAGAGGGACAGACAGTTAGAGAGGTCCATGGTTCCTATCAGGAAGTCACTGCACGCTCGGGACAGGACTGACACCTGAGGACAGAACAAGAACGACATGAACACTTGAGAAAACATCCATGAGAATTACAATATACTGTAAAACAATATACAATACATATTTAAAATAACTGCAACTTAGAGACAAGTATATTTTTAATCAACTATTATTTCAAGAACTACTATTCCTTCAGCTGTTAATTATTGTAGTTTAATAAAGGCCCTGCACACAGGTGTGTTCACTTGCTTGATTAGACCTCTGCTCATGGGCGGATTATGACTATGGGCCCCTGGGCACAGATATACAAAAGGCCCCACCACCTCCCCTACATAGAAGCAGGGGTTTTTTTTCATCTCTTTATAGCCATATGCATCTTTTTGTGGATTTGTGTCTCTTTTTTGGTTGTTTGTGTCTCTTTGTGTCAGTCTGTGCCTTTTCTTTATTCCTAATGTGTCAGCCATTTTACCCCCTCCCCTTTGTTTCTTGTGGTTCCTCATTTGTCTCTCTCTGTGTCTGTGTGTCTGGGTGTGGCTCTCATCAGTCCTGCTGATCAGCCTGCTCAGCCAAAAGCCATCCACTAATGACACCCAGCAGTACAAATACCCTGACTCTGCAGTTCAGTCTACCTTGCGTTACTAACTATGGCCTACTTGTTGCTCATTGCTTTTTTTATTCTTGGATTTTTGGCCTGAACCTTGTTTCTCAGTGCCTCAGATCCACACTCACCGGTCACCCATTTACCTGCCACTCCAGCCTGCCAGCCTGTTTCCAGCCCTGCTCGGCCTGCCTGCCCTGTGTCTCCCGAATACCCTGGATCAACCGAAGACACCCCTTCTTGCTTTATTGAAAATAAATCCACTTTAAACTGAACAGCTGTCTGAGTCGTGCTTTTGGATCCAGTTCTCTTTATACAATACAACAGTTATTTTGTGTCTCTTCGCATCTTTTTTGTGGTCATTTTGAGTCTCTTCCTGGTCAGTACTTGTCACTTCGAGTGACATTTTACCAGTGACAGTCAGGGGGGTTCCCTTACACTTTGGGCCCCTGGACCTGTGCCCTATTAGCCCATTCAGTAATCCATTCATGCCTTTGCTTGTGTTGCAGTTGGGGGAGATTACATGGTGAGGTCCCCAAAGTTCATGTTCCAGTAAGAATACTTAAGTATTAAGTTTTCCAGTTATAACAGGTGACAGGAGGTCTAATTAGACACCAGTATGGGAGTGTGCAGCAGACATTTTGCCTTGTCATAGTGGGAAAATCACAGGTGTGATGCACTGTATGTTTAGGAAAAAGAAAGACTGGTTGTAGTTCTACCTGCAGAAAAGATGCAATCTGAAACAGCATGTCTACGTTGCCATCAGTGATGAGTGTCTCTCCAGTATAGGCGAAGTCCAGGAAAGAACCCACCGCCTCTGGAGACTGGTTACCTAGAGTCACTGAACCATCCCCACGCTCTCGCATATCCACCTCAAACATGGCCCTAAACACAGAGCAGTTACATTTTAACAGAAAGATAGATAGATAGATAGATAGACAGATAGATAGATAAATAGATAGAGTACCTGAAGAAATCACTGCATGCTGCAAGGACGCAGCGATGGCAGGGGAAACTATGTTCCTGGACCTTAATGGTGAAGTCAAACAGCAGGCTTCGCTCCCTGAAGGATCTGAGCACACCCAGCAGCTGAAGTCCGTGTGACTCAGGCACCCGCAGTAGGGTCCTGCACTCTGGGACCCCGTTGCATAGTGGAGCACTGCCAGGTTTACTGCTGGGGGGGCTGCTGCTGGAGTTGTGGGCGTTGGTGATACATGACGGTGACTCTTGAGGTTCATCCATCTTTTCAAACTCTGATTAAATTAAAAAATTGAAATTAAATAAAGAGCATGATGCATTTTCACAGATAATAAAGAGGCTGAGCCTGCCCCCTTATATTATGTGACTATGTATGTGTCTGTGTGTGAAAGACACACAGAAGGGTGAGCAGAAATTAGTAAACTAAATGCTTAATATTACTGAGAACAGTTTAAGGTAAGATCTTGTCTAGCACATTCAGTATTATCACACAATTACTCAGTTCAAAATTAAGATAACACACACTACCTGAGATGATGCACTGATGTTAAAAGTCCAACATAGGTTATACAAGTAATAGATATAGACGTGAAATATAGAGATATGTAGTCTGAAGCAGGACAAGCGCTACTCACAGTGTCAGCACCTCGGACAGCTCTCTCTTCTCATGCCATTCTAACTTCCGGAAACGTGAAATCACGCGAGGACTCGGACAGCTTCTTGTTTTTCCGCGAATATACTTGTCACTAAAATGATCTTTGCTGAAAGTGCGCTGTTTTGTTAGTAATAACAAGATGTTGCTGTCGTTTATTAAAAGCCCTCGAGTAGTGTGTGCATGTATGCGGCTCTTTGTTTGCGGTAGAGCAGTGCGCAGTGGTAGCTGGGAACTGTAGTTCTCGCTCATTGGTCGTTTTACAGACTGGGTCTTTGCTCGGTGGGACTATGCTGGGGCCCAGTGTAGTAGTTTGGGATAAATTCACTTGCAGCACAAGAGATGGGCTAAGAAGTCAGGACACATAAGAAATTACATAAAATGTGTAAAGTAAGAAATTAATGAATGACATTCAAGCAAAAACTGTATTCATTAGATAAATAAATTAATAAATAGGCAACATATATTAAAAAAAATTTAATTATCTGGAGGTAGTTTGTAAGTTGAAAAAGTTTCTAAGTTGAAAACAATGCACTTTGCCAATCTAGACGAGCTTCACTGTGCAAAGCGAGATAAATATTTGTTAAGGGTGTTGTTAGTGGCATGTAAAAAGGCTATCACCAGAAAATGGCTTAAGAAAGACATATCAACCATAAACGAGTAGACTGACTTAATTTATATTACATACACAATGGAGAGAATTACAATTAAACTAAAAACCCAATTGATACTTTGATGAAAAATGGTCAAAATGGCCTAGCCTACCCATATGTACAAAATCAGACCTTACACATGAGTAGGCCATTTTTATATGTTTTGTTTTGCTTTTAGTTCACTTTAAATGTGTAGGGTTTTTGTGTCCATTTGACACCTATGTGAAGTTACTAAAAAGTTAATGACTAAATAAATAAATAAATTTAATATTTAAAAAAAAAAGCAGGCATGGTTCCAGGCCCTGCATGTTTGGTAAATTGAGTCACTGTGGTGCAATGCAACTTGTCACCACTGGGTGGCGTTGCCTGGCTGCAGAGCAATATTTGTGGTAATGCTTCTGCACATACGCACCAAGTAAAAGCCTCTGAAATAGTGAACGTGAACTTCAGTCATGCTGCAGTACCGTTTCACTGCCACAGTGCTGCTGACCAAATAACACACTTTCCTGCCTGGAAATGGTGATTACGAAGATACATAAAGGCAGGCTTTTGCAGACATGCACAGATACTACTACAGCCTGTGTCTATCCTGGTAATATATGCAACGACGTATGGATATAAGCCACTTCTCATTAACACAATCAATAAAGTGCGAACACACACAACAGAACAAAGAAGTAACTGTGATTATACAGCAACATAACAATCAAACCACCTCCCTTCATCTGAATTATCTTTATTAGCAGTTTAGTCGCAACAATCCTTAAAATAAAATGCTCTGTTACTGATTGATTGAGGACTATGAGTCAAAATGGACAACAGAAACTAAGGCCATTCCGTCACTCATTTGCTTTTTCCTTTTTTTATAAGTTTGAGCTATATCGATTTCTGTATTATGATTATTATTATAAGGCTATTATGAGAGCCGCTTCACTGGATGTTCTATCGGTGGGTCGGACCCCCTCCTCTCTCCTTACATCCCTGCATCCCTCCCTTCCTCTCTCCCTCCCGGCAGTGCATCCCCATCCCCCACACGGTGGCCGTCTCTTCGGGTGAAAGCTGTCTTCCCTGCGCCACTGGTCCGACAAAACGCTGCTGTAGCAGAGCCAGTCAGTCCGCACCGACCTGAGGCAGAGCACACAACACGGGAGAGAGCACGTACGCACACGGGGAATCATTTTTTTGTTCGACCGAGTGGCTTTGGTAAGTCTTGTCCGATGTCTATTATGGAGGGCAGGAATGTCCATGTGTCGACTTGCTAGTTGTTCGCTTTTTTCTGTCTTTCTTTTCCTCCGTATCCCTTCAATTGTCCTCCGTGTCGGCTACATCGGGGGAACTAGCGGGCTAAGCTAACAGGAGCTAGCTTAAATAGCGGAATCAAACTGATAGCCGTTGTCGTAACGGCTCGGGGTTTTATGGTTAGTGGTTGGCGTCCAGGCGGTAAAAGTAGCCACTGTTGTTCCGGTGCAGTCCGCTCTGACCTGCTGTGAGTGTTTTTCATTGTAGTTTGCTAATCGTTACCCAGCTAGCTCGCTAATTAGCAATTTTAGCAGCGTGCGCCCGAGGGATGCGGGGATGCTGCTACGACGGGTTAGCGGTTGTCTTTTTAGGCTAGCAGACTAAGCTAAGCTAACGTTACTATTATGTGACCCGCATAGATTCCTGCACGGGGTGCTTCGGAATGGTTGAATAGCCATGCTAACGGTGGCTAATCTGGTGATAATTGGCAAGATGGCATCTCGGAGTTGTTATCTAGAAATCGGTGGATTTCCAAAATGGTGTCTTAAGCTTGTTTGAGTGTGACCATTTTTGTCCAACCATGGCTGTTTTGGCGTTGCTTGCTATCTCAGGAATGCAGTGTACTGCCAGTGCATGCCATAGTCTGATGGATATAACTACATATTAACCACTGATGTGGTGATAAATACAAACGCCTGCATGCTTGGCTGTATCCTCCAGGCTACAGTCACTATTTTGAACAAAACATAGCATCATAATTTGTTGTGCAACTGATTTTGTTTTTCAGCAGAGTTTTGTGCTGCATCTGTGGTGTATTGTGCAGCTGTTATAAAATGAAGTGTAGCGTGTATTCATATGTAAATATTTGCATTCTGGATTTAGATGGTTCACCTCATTGAGTCTATGTATATCACTCATTATTAGGTTCATAATAATCATGTGGTTCCTCTTGAGATTCACTTTTGGTTACATGAAGACCCCGGCTATTGTCAGAAGAAGCATTAGAAAGGCAAAGTGTGACAGCAAATTAAGATTATTTTCTATATTGATTAATTTGCTGTCCAGGTATTGATTTAAGTATTATTATTCAGTCTACAGAATGTCAGAAAATAATGAAAAACCCTTAATAACACCTTCTGATTGCTGGCACAATAAAATATTTCATTGTACAGTAACAGGAAATGGAGTTAAGCAGCCTTGACAGAGGCAGTATTTGGCATTTTTGCTTGTTAAACAACTTTAACAATCAATTTTTGAGCAAAATTCTTGTTGACTAATTTCTTTTGGTCATCTTAATGATTCACTAACTAATCATTCAGCAATAGTAGGGATGCAACAGCCTAACAGTGTATCGCTGTACACACTGACAATACAGAATACAAAACCTAAACAGAGCCCTGCGTAGTTTAAAAGAGACAGGATTACACAAAATACTACAGGCATATTTTTCTTCTTCTCTCTTATGACTAGTCTTATCAGTGAAATGAATCCTCTTCACGATCATCTTTTTTGGGGGATTACCTGCTTCAGTCATTGACCACTAATCCTATTTAATTCAAGAAGCCTTATCTGTCTAAAGGGATTTCTGAGATACTACTGTTCTTGGCCCTCGTCAGAGCAACGTATTTAAAGTTATCTGTGTATAGGAGAGTGGAAGAAGCACACTGCTCCGTGAATGTTAGACATTCAGTGATGTGATTTTGTTCTAAATTTTTAATTTAGGTTATGCTTAACAAGGCTGAACAACATTAGAGTCACATCGATTCTGTCCAATGAACAAACAATGCACAAATCATAAAGGCTTTGCACAGTCTTTTTACGACTAAAGGCATCTGGCAGAATTGCATCCCCCAGATGAAGGTGTATTAAATGCAAGGATAATGGTCATCCATGAGAAATCAATTCACAAATGACAGTATAAGGGTGGCATTTTAAGTCAGTCTGTATTTTTTGCGGAGGATAAGAGCTAAAGCTAGGCTGGGCCAAAAAGCTGTCGAAGTGCTTGAAGTATTTGCTAATTCAATTTCATCCTCAGTCTAAGGTGACCCCTGTCTGCCATGCTAGAGGAGAGAGGGGGGGGAATGTGGGTATCGGCATGCGTTGAGCGGAGTCTCATGTGTATGAATGGTGGGCCGTACAATGCAGCCGTAAAACTGTCAGACTATAGAAAGCTGGAGTCTCTTAATGTTACGAGAGTCGGTGGTTCTATAACAGACTGTTGTCTTTCTAGCACTTCAGTCCCATGTGGTTTGAACCACTTAATGAGTTTCTCATCAGAGATCAGTGAATGAGATGCTTACAGACGGCAGCTTCCAGATTTGCCCTCCTCATGTCCAGCCCACAGTGCCTCGACTTAATGACCGGCTTTTTTTTTTAATTAATTTTTTTTTTTTTATGGGACAAGCAGATGTAAACATTTGCATCATTAGACAGGTTGTCAGTGTCAGTGATATTTGAACAAAATTGCCATATTTGAATACCACTAAATTTCATCTTGGAAGTCATTTATCATTTTATTTAATTGCTAAAACTTTAGCTGTAATGGACAATCATAAGTCTATCTAATTATCTTTTTTAAAATTAATTGATTAAGTTAAGTCTATAAAATATCAGTTTCCCAAATTCCAAAACCCAAAGATGTTGATTTTAAGATGGGGAAAGGCAGCAAATTCTCACATTTGAAAAATGGCGGCATTCATTTTTGGCACTCCTTTTGTGAAATTGACTTGAATGATTAATTATCAAAACAGTTGCCAGCTAATTTTTAATTGATTGGCTATTGCAGCTTTTATCTGTTGACAATACATTTGGTTATTGCTAAATGATGACCCACAGAGCCCAGGGAAGAAGAAAGAAGAGATACTGATGTATGGTGTTAGCAGTCGTGTTAGCATTCCCTAAACACAGAATGTAATGTGAACACTTACTGTAATTGTCAGGAATGCAGATTCAATTCAGGTGCCCGCAATCAATACAAGACAATATCAGTAATTGTCCTCATTGTCTTTTTCTTTGCTGCTTACCATAATCTGCCTCACACCAGGCCTTTAGCACTGTTAAAATTTTTAGGAAGCTGTGTGTTTGGATGGAAATGGAGACACATATGCCATGGGAATGTCAAAGTAAAGGCGTATCTTAAAGATGATATGTATTGATGTACTGATTTTGCGTCACTTATGTTGGATTATTGATCACTGAATCAATAAATCAATCCAGACTGATGTATAGTTACACCCCTAGTTCATCTTAAGTTGGACTTTGACTATGTTTAATGGACATCAGATACCATCAGCAGTATATGAATGAGAGAAAATCACCAAAAGCATTATACACCCGGATTCTTTGCAGATTTTCAACGAGTGCTGTGTCACTGCAGTGTGGGGAGTGTGTGCAAATGAACAGCGTTAAGGTGCCCCTCGTGCTGCCAGCTCCCAAAGCACCCCGCCCATCCACCAGCCAAAATCTGTGGCATGACACATGAAATGACGTGTTTTGCATCATTTGGCGGATTTTTGCTCACGGCACAGGCAACTTCTCAGTGCTGTTTGCTCAGCGGAAGGCCAAACACCATTCATCTTCACACACTACCCACAACACGGTGACAAACACCTGGTTGTAAATCAGCAAAGTATCCTTTAAAGTCACATGTTGTTATTTGCCAGCACGGCTTGTATCAAATGCTGCTACTGCAAAATGTCACTGTACTTTACTTTCCTGTATATTAGCATAAAATTTTGACAGTTTGTATATTGACTCTACACCCTGTTGTATTTAATCATCTTATCAAGAGCCAGCTTTCAGCTGGGACACTATTTGAACAGGTATTTCACAGAAGACCTGGTCGGCTCTGTATATTTAGTATGCTTGAAATATCTGAGTAGCTGGCATTGATCAGCATCTCATCAAAGCCCTTCCTAAATAATAATGGTGAATTTGTGCAAAGAGACAGTAAAATATCACTGGTTGCTATGTTAACTACACCATTATGGCCTTTTTTTTCCCTCCTGTGTTTGTCAAGTCTCACCTCCGCTGCAGGCAATAATGCCTGTCTGCAGTTAATATTGCCTGGAGGTATTGATTGTTTATCATGGGTTTAACTTCCAAGATCTAGCTCATAAAGCTGTTGGTTCTCTTTTCTGTTTGTGCATGCTTGTGACTTGGTGCGGTGTGCATGTGTGTGTTTTTTCCTGTAACTCAAAGGGTCAGATTACTCAAAACACAAATCCAGTGATGCTGAATTCAGGAATTGAGTTTTGCCTTTTTAATCACTGGCTATTACAGCCCGGTAATGTAGTAGCTAATTTTAAGTAGTTTTTTTCTTAAACTAGAAGCTTAATTAAATATAAATTTTTAACCCAAGTTTTCTGCAAATTGATGGCCTTAATTGTAAAAATCAATCCACTTTGTCTGATTTGTTAGTTCTTTTTCCACAGCGGTGGTAAAATGTCTAAAAGGTTAATAAAATTCAAAATCAAACCCATGGCCAAATGAGAACGTTGACCTTGCGCAGAAGCTCATTATTTGATCTCCCAGCTTGGATTGATGTGGCATTTGTAAAAAATCAGTCAATAAAATTTGATGTACCTGGTTCGTTAATTAATTTGGAGCACCTTTGAGCTTTGTGCATTCATTAAGAGTGCCTTGAAACATATTGATAGATACTGCAGCAGGCCACACATGCACCAGTGCCTTTTTATATTGTTATTGTGCAAGTGATTACTTGGTGTTGAGGATGCACTTATATCACGTACAGACATGACACCTTTTTTTTGGTAATTATAGGCCTATAGCTTTTAATAGCTTGCCCATCACGGTGGTGATCAGCATGGGTTAAATCACTGCTAAATTATGGGAAAGAACCAGTCTTGTTGGACATTTTCTACAACCATATATGCAATATATTAGTCTGTAACTCTGTTTGCAATTATTTCACACAAGTTTAGAATTTTAAGGGGCAAAAAGTG